TACTTTGAATAGCATCTTTTATCAGACTTTCCAAACTTTTCCCACAACTGATGTAAGACTAATGGATCTATAATTACTGGAATAATTTTTTATTACCTCCCTTGAAAAGAAGAGTTACATTCGCTAACTTCCAATCTTCTGGTATCTGCCTGGTATTCAAAGATTGACAAAAATTAGTAGCAAGTGGCTCACAAACCCAATCTTTAACCTCCTTCAAAACCCTAGAGGAAATATTCTCTGGCCCAGAAGCCTTATCATTTTTTTACACTTCCCAATTTTTCTTAACCAGCTCAGAATTAATGCATTCAATTTGTTTGATCTCGTTTCTATCTGTCAACTCTTCAAGATGTGGAATAGTACTTATATATTTATTAGTAAAAACTGAAGAAAAAACAAAATATCAGATACGAGCCCAAACAATCCTAACATTTTGTTTAATCTTAATATTTTTAAAGAAATGTTAATTTTTACATTTTCAGCCAACCTTTCTCATGCATCGTTTTTGATGTCCTAATTTCCTGTTTCACTAACTTTCATGATCTTCTATAATCTTCTAAGTCTCCTTATAGGTAAGAATATTACTTTATGAAAACATTACTATATTACTCCATAGCTGATGATCTAAGTATTGACTTAGTACACATTTAAGGTACTGTAGTACATGATTATAGTTTTTGCCGCTATATCTAATTTGTATGATATACTAAAAACATTTTATGATGTTTTATATATAAAACACTTATCACTAATTCAATAGTTTTAATTTCTGTAATCAATATTTTGTATAATACTTTTCTATCTATCTGTCCTGAAAATGATATTTATTATGATCTCCAAATAATAATAATATACAATAACTTAATTTTCATGTTTAGCTTTATAAGTTAATCCATATAATTTTTCTGCTAAAGTTTAATTTTGAAAGATATATGTAAATAACTATGTTTAACCATAAATATTTTACAAAATACTTACCTTCCTGTAGAGATTTTCACAAATATTTGTCTAGAGCTTGTTTCTTGCTGGTTTGGAACTTTATGCATAATGCTAACTGAAACAATTTGCATATAGGCTAAAAACTCAATAAACTCTGATTTTAGGAGTAGGGATAAATTGTCAATAAGGATTGTATACCACTCTCTGTAAGTAAGTGATATTCCTACCATTTATTTATAGAACTATAGAAATATAAACGCTTACTACATACTAGAGAAAGGCCACACATGCAAATAGTATAAACTCTTCCATCCCTATTGCTTAATTAGTCTAACACACCACAGCTATTGACGTGTTCTGCAGTTTAAGAGAAAAACCCCAATCACTGTATCTTAGTTTTTGAGCTTCAAGACTGCTGACAAGTTAAAGCTCACAACTGATGTCGTCCACATTGCAGAAACAAAAGTTTAACAGAACATTTGAAATACGGAGTATGTTTACAATACAGTGAAACTGATTTAAAACTTAATTTGTTCAAACTCTACATAAATTCAGAGTAGTGGAATATAATTTTACTTTATTACATTTTTTTTATTACTTTATTTTACTTTTTTACATTTTATAATGATTCTAAGATATATTCGTTTAAATATTTGTTAACAAATCATAAATTATTCTTCTGTATCTTTAATATGTTCACTTTACTTACATTGCAATATTAAAACTTATTAGTTCACCAAAGTGTTAAATTCATTTTTCATATAACACATATAAACATAATATATAACTGAAAAAAGGTTTCCTACTAATCTTCTGTTTCAAAGAACAAAAACACTCAATTTTGTTAACGTAAACTGAATTTGTAAGTCAGTAAACATGGTTTATTGATTTTTTTCACTTTACATAGTGATACAAAACACTAATTCTATATAAAACTCATGTTTCATTACAGCCCAATATGTTTTAAGTAGATATCATTATTACACGTAAGCAAAATCACAGATTTAACAAGCATCATACATACTAAAACATTTATTAATAAAACTTCAGGAATTATATATACTAGTTACGAAAACTACAAACATCATAATTTATAAAATACTGGACTGTCTCATTTAAATTAGCTTTCATACAGCTTTTGTACATTTCAACGTAATGTCCATATTAGTACTTGTTTATTTCAGCTCACTGTGTAAGATTTTTAATATATTTTATAAATGAAAAAGGTAGATGACAATTCTTGTATCTTGCTGATTTCATCGAACTTTACAACCCTCACTACTCAGTAAGATTGAATTGTGCCGAACATTACCTTTCCATTATTGCTTAAAAAGTAACATGTTTCACCATAGCGTAATATGCTATCATATAGCCTAGTAGTAAAGTGAAGTGTCAATTTAAGAAAGGCTATATGCCCGAACACAAGAAAATATAGGTTTTCTTTTCGTCTTTGGTAAGTCATCTTGCAAGTTTACTACGAATGTTTAGCTGTAAACAATTGATCTAAGATAATAATACCCTATTTAGTATTTAGAATTTTGTTAATAGATGCTAGAAACATTCAGTTCAAAGCTCTAATTGAGTAGAAAGCATACAAGAATTGTACGCTAACTGAAATGTACTAGACTTGTATGAAAGTTAATTTTATCTTGGCGATCCAGTATTTTGTAACCGATACGTGTTTCAGTTTGTGTTATTCATAAATATCAAAGATTATCAAGCTGACAGCTTCTCAGTAGAATTTACCTCTCAGGTAAATTTGAAGAACATAAATTGTAAGATGGGTGATGCTGTTATTTTCTTACGTGTTTAGACGATTACGTACTGAAGTTAGACTATGTATATATATCTTATTAAGTTATGTTTGTAAACAATAATAGTTTTAAACTACAAATGTATGAGTTATGATCAGAAAGTTATGATCAGGAAATAACTTCTTTATGTACTCTCAAATCTTGAGAACAGAA